AGGTGGAGGCAGATGATCTGCTGTGGCATCAAATAAGGGGACGAACCAAAAGAACGAAACAAAGAGATCAAGCATATTTTTGTATTAAAGAAATTAATTTGCTCAGTTCTACCAACTAATGTTTGTGATAAATGTGAGTGCTCACCTTGGATGGTGAAGTTGAGCTGCACAAACAGCCCTGCCTGTCTGTTGCCGTTTCCTGCGCTGACCCTAACGATGACAGAGTCACAGTGGCTGATGTTAACGGCCCCCGCTGTGGGTACTCCTCCAGTACCAGAACCTTCAGAACCCAGTTCTCCAATGCTACTATTGTTAATGGCAACTGTGATGGCCAGACTATCATCAAGACCAGAGATTGGGATCTGGGTTCCATTTTCAGTGCGAAACTCCATGGATGCCACCTCGGTAGAGATGGTGTAGTTGGCAACATAGTTGAAGGGGAACGGGTTGGACTCCACCTGGATAGAAAAAGTTAATAAAGTCAGTAAAAGTGAACGTGAGGATCTTTTATCTGAAAACAGAATTGGAAAAAGACCAAAAAGAAGGACACAGTTCAGGCAAACTCTTTTAGTGAATGTGCTGATGACAGACTTCGGCACAAACAGCTTTCATGCTGCCAAGTTCTTTGACAGCCATCATAGGAGAAGGTTCAAAAGAAGAATTTTGTACTTGACTCAGACGTTTCTGCTCTTTTAAGTGTTTTCTGATGTTCAAAGAATGATGTCAGTGTATGTACAAGTAATCCCTGTAGGACCAAAAGCTCGGACCTCAGAAAGCTGCTTGAGTTTTATTCTACTCCGAGTGTCTGGTTGACAATAACATGAACAAACCTGAAAAAGTAGCTGCATGATGCTTTTTCCAGCAGCGGCTCTGCCCAGACTTTTATTGAAAGCTCGGGGGATGGAGAACAGCTGGCACTCTGGTAATATGAAGAGAGGGGAAATTAAACACTGTCATCATGCACATAATTCTTCACAGTTACAGTTTATAATGTCCAACTTTCTGCAGTTTATAGTGAAAAATTCCAACCTGAGACACTAAATGCACAAACAAACCTGGACTGTTGTTGCCATGGTAGCAGAGGAGACTCTGGGGGTCTGCCAGTTTTCCCGTAGCAGCTATCTCAGCTCCCCTCAGAACGAGCGGCTCCTCGTTGAGTACGCGGCCGTGCATGAGGATCAACATGAGCACCGAGGACAGACTGTAAGCCTTTGCTGCCACACGCAGAGGGTGTGGCTCCAGTGTGTCTAACACGGCGTTTCCATACTCTTCACCAGAGGAAGAAGGCGTTGAGATGGACGGGGGTGAGGAGGAATCCAAATAAGCATGGAGGTACGAGTAGGAAGCTGACTGACTGACTTGATGGATCAGATCACCTTGTAAAAAAAGGAGAAAATATGACATACGATAAAGGCAAATTTAAAAAATAAAAATAAAAAGACAATACTTAACTAGTGTGTTCTTGAACTGTTGGTGCGCGCAGTATTGGTGACTGCTCATTTATTTAAGGAAAAATAAAATCATAAATAGATTTTTGAGAGCAGATTCATTCAGTTATGTAATCCAGCGGTCCCCAACCTTTTTTGCGCCATGGACTGGTTTATGCCCGACAATATTTTCACGGACCGGCCCTTAAGGTGTCGCGGATAAATACAACAAAATAAAACTAGTACCGGTACCAAAAAAAAGAAGATTTATTCATAACACACGTGAAAAGACCCAGGAAAACCGAGTAAACGATAAAAACGATAACAAAATAACACTGAAAACCGATAAAAACCCTGAAAACCATACATTTCACACCTGAGCCTCAACTTTCACGGCCCGGTACCAAACGACTCACGGACCGGTCCAAGGCCCAGGGATTGGGGACCGCTGATGTAATCTACTCAACAACACCACTTACTAGAATTTGGAAGCGTTGTATTAGTGAGCATTACACGGCTCTAGTTTAGCTGAATTTACACAAATTCACTGCTTTTAGACCAATAAATAAACCAATTTTTAGTTTCTTTATAGATCAGCTATGTTATTTAGTCATAAGTAAGAGCAGTTAGAAAGCAATATCCTCAACTTAACAAAAAATACACAAAAATATCTGACTGGGTAGAAGTTCCTAATTAGTGTTGCAGTTAGAGCCTCATGTAGAAATGAGCAACACTGTCCTAAAAATGCACTTACAGTGACACAGCAGTTTCGTTCTTACCCATGATGTTCAGGATGTTGTCAGCTATTTCAGTCGGAGTGACGACGCCCTGCTTGGTGTCTGTCTGCAGAATGTCCAGCATGGACTCCAGCTTGTTCAGAGTGCTGTTCTGACACTCCTCACAGATGAACTCTCGACTTACCGCCTGGAAAAAAGATGCATGCACGTTCACTCGTAACCGATTTGTTTGTATTCTTGGCTCTCCTCTTCTGTTATTAGCCTCAATAATTTCCTTTAAAAATGACCCCGTTTTCTCTCATCCTGCTCACCGTGCACTGTGCAAGAGCAGCGGAGGTCTGCTGGATATCGCTCACAGTTGTCAGATCCAGAGCAGTCAGAGCTCTTGTGATGTTGCTGCGGACTCTGACTCTATAATTGCGCTCATCTTGGGATACGCGTGACGACTGACTGGTCTGCTCATACTGGAAGAAAGTAAATGCCGATATAATTACTCCTCATGTGTTATCAGCTGTCGTGTGACTTGACAAATGATTGCATTAATCGCTGTTTTATGGCTAGGCCTCTCTTACCTCATTTAGGACTGTAATAAGAACCAATGATAACTCTCTGACCCTCTGGGAATCTCCCTGCTCCAGCAGCTTTTTGAGTTTGCTGTCTGTCAGATCAGAAAGCCAGTGGGGAAGACTGCTGTATCCAGAAGGTAGATCTGGCAGTACAACCTCAATGGTCCTGGACACAAACAGGAAAAAAAAACAACTGAATATAGAATTTGAAACTTCACTATATGCATGTGGAACAGCAGTCACTGGTGAACAAGAAGAGCAACAATAACAGCAATGTTGCTTCTAGATGCCATGAAATTCAACAACTGAGCAAATACATTGGGGATTGTAGTGATTCCTTGAAACATTTCAGTAATATAACACCATGGTAGCTAAAAGTGACTCAAAAAGATTCAGACTGAAGTCTCCTCATAAGTGAACTAAACCGAATAAAGTAGAGTTACTTGTTAAGTGGCATGATGGCAGCTCCCTGGTGGTCCTCAACTGTGATGTACACGTATACATGATGTTGGGCTATGCTGAAACCTGGAGGCAGGAAGGCCGAGTGCTCTGGACTGCTTCCTTTGTACACGCAAAAGTCCTCACAGTATTCTTCTTTGCAGCGTGTCACTAGCAGACTGTACAGCAATGTCGTTTCAGAGTCACCCAGATCACTGTAACCTAAAGGGTTCAAATTAATGCAGGGTCAAAAGACAATAATCCCTATAAAGGATATGATAATTAAAAAGATTTAAGTCACATTTCCTTCTTCCTACCAGAGCAGTTGAAGTGTACGCGGTCCAGCAGTGTGCGTATCCTCCTGCCTTCACCATCAAGATCCGCGTAGGCCACTCCTGCCTCCCCTCCAGCTCTCAGGTGACATTCCCCACCAGCCGGGGCCTTGTTGTGATGCAGTGTGATAGAAGCAGCGCCCTCGCCATTTAAGCTGCTGTCAGTCACATGCAGGGTGAAGACATAGGAATCATTATGCCGCAGGACCCCCTGCCGTAGCACCAGATTCATACCGTCGCTTCCTGTCGTGGTGGAGGAGGAGTCTAGGACCAGAGTCTCATTCTTTAGCGTCATGGCACTCCAGCGCTAAGACAGAGAAGGAAAACAGCCTGTAACTCTCCGTTCTTGATATTAGTGACATCAGTGATATCAGTGACACCAGTGTGCTTTTTCCTGCTTGAGTTGCAGTTGAAAAGATGAGTTGGGAATAAAAGGCACACCATTATAAAACAGTTTGACAGTTGGCTGGATAATCAGATGAAAAATTTCAAGGGGCAGGTCATTTCAAAACACAACTTTTCAAACAGCTCAACCACCACACAAACAAACTGTTTCGTATGGCGTTATTTTTGTGCCACTATTCTGAGCGCACGTAAAAAAAATTGCAGGTGCAAGTGTTGCATTTTGAGGAGAAATTATTTTGAAATGCAAATGCAAAAACTGAGCGACAGGGGCTGAATAGGATAGGGGCTGGATAATAGCAAACACTGAAATACATTTTTTGCACGCAGCAATGAATTTTGTTCACTCAAATTTAGCTTTTCTTCGCTCAAAATAAATTTCTCCTCAAAATGCAACACTTGCACCTGCAATTTCTTTTTACGTGCGCTCAATTTTTTTTTAAATACGTTCGCTCAGAATAGTGGCACAAAAATAACGCCATAGTTTCGGTGTAGTTCTTCTCAAAACTGAGGAGCTAAATGTAAATCTGCGAGAGGAAAAAAAAATGTAACAGAGATGGAAATCATTTTCAAAGGTAGGAACTGCTCAGCAAGTGGAAACTTTATAGACTAGAATGTCCTCATTTATTTTAGATATTGTATCCAGACATAATGCTTTGATGAATTATGTTTTTGTGAAAATATCGTTTGGCATGAAAATACCAGAAGGTTTAGTGCAGGCTAAAACTGATAAGTTTGGAGTAGAGTGTTCCCTCATTTATTGCGGGAGTTACGTTCTAAAAATAACCCATGAAATCTGTGAAGTAGCCAACTTTATTTTTTTACAATTATTATAGATGTTTTATGGCTGTAAAACCCCTCACTACAAACTTTACACACTTTTCTCAGACAGGCATGAACATTTTCACACTTTTCTCTCTTGTTTAAAGACTCTCAAAGTTCAAACCTTTGTAGAAAAATAATTATAGAATGAAACCAAAGGCACTCGTAGGTGCAGTTGACGGTGCAAAACGTTTCACTGACATTTTTGTGATTGTTGGAGAAAACTTACAAACATACAGTACAGCACTGCAGAGTCACACTGCTAGCGATAGAAGATTTAGATAATTTGATAAGCTGAACACATTCTATACTGTACAAGAGACACGGCACAAGACTGACTGACAATGGTCTACAGCCAATCAGAACGCAGAAAACAATGCAGTGTAAAAAACAACAACCCAAAAACAAAAAAAAACACGCAAAATTGCACAAAAAAATCCAGGAAACAGCGAGACCGCAAAAGGTGAACTGCGTTATAGCGAGGGACCACTGTACTCCGATAAAAGTTTACAGGGACACGCTTTGTTGGACTAGAGTAGTGTTACTAGACATGAGGGACGCATTCTGATGTAACTCTCAGCAATAAGTGTATTCCTTAAAATGTCAAACTATGCCCTTTAAAGATGGATAGCTTTTAAATCATCATGATAATAAAATAAGTATTCTTAAAGTGCTCAAAAGAGGCGGTAACCTTTGACCCGTAATTTTAGCTTTTTCCTTATTAATAATTTAGTTCCTCTTGAGAAACTTTTTTCCTACAATTTATGTGTACAATATTTCTAAAGCGTCCACATGCATGACAAACCTGACATTTTTCTTAGGAGACAGACAAGTCAATCTTGTCTGTCTCATAAGTTACTTATAACTTAGAATTGCAATAAGTACTGTATAAATGATTAAACGTTAAAACTGATGATGTGTAAGTGACACAAAACTTGCTAAAGTTTTTTTCTTTTCAAGCTGATGGATATCTTTCCCTTTACTAAAGACATATTAGTATGTAATGACTACACATATTGAGTCAGATATGTGTAGAGAGTCCAAAATTCAAATATACTCCAGTCAGTATGGAAAGTATAGTGTAATCCTAACAAAGTGACATTGGTTATACTGCAGCTGAGCAATGTCAGCTGGTAGGTGCAGTTCGCACTCCAGAAACTCAATGATTGTTTTGTCTTTCAAATTGTTTCCTTATGTAAGTTCAACACAACATATTCTCTCTGGCTCAGCTTAAGGGATGACCTCATTCTCAAGCCCACACACTACTGCCTGCATCACGAATCCCAGGGAAAGTCTGAATTAAGGAGAGAGGTGGGGCAGCAGAAGAAGAAAGAGAAGAAAGGGACGTGGAAACGTTGACTTCACTGTTGCTTCTGTGGTGCCGTGACCTCATTTTGCTGAGACATAGAAAGACATTTTTAGCCAGATTCTGCCCTTAAAGCTTGATGTCAGGGTTTGTGTGAGTTTTTACCACATGAAGAACGCCCTTGCAGTTGGTGCAGGTTCCTCGGAGGTAGACATACGAGTTCTGGCTGACCTCGTAAATCGACTGGGCCTTACAGGACACACACTCAAGATACACAATGGGAATGTGGCCGCTTTGGACGAGCACCTGTTACAAAAACAGACATGCAGGGATGCAGTCACCAAGATCTGAAAAGAGAACGTTTAACCACCTGAAAAGAAAATGTTATATATGTGCACATTTGGCTTAAATCAGATGTATGTATATGAATATGCACAATCTTTAAGGAAAAAAAGGAATACTGTTTCCCCCAATTATTATTGAACTATTATTTAAAGAAAATTTCATGTTTAAACCTTTTTTATTTACTTGCATTTCTAAACAGTGATCAGCACACAGAACAAGAAGTCTTGGACCACAAACCTGCAGTCTGCACTGGAACCCTCAAAATATTTGCCATGGTTCATTATTACAATAGGAAACACTTGTGTCAGTCCATGTTATGGCTGGATCACAACAGCTTTTTTGTTCACATTTCTTTTCTTCTTGCTCTGCCTTACACTTTAAGCTCCCTTTCCCCTCTCTTTAAACCACTTTTCTTCTGATTGGCTGCCCCAAAGTTAGAAAAGCAGAGGGCTGCACGACAAAATGAGATGAATTTCTTACAGAGAAATGTTGAGCTTAAATGTCCTAAAAGTAGCCCTATTTTTACCTCACTAAATCACTGTGGTAACTTGTGCTGAACACATAAACTGGAAACAGTTTATGTTCAAAGTTTAAAATCGGCTAGTAGCGTTTTATTGTTTCTTTTATTATATCCACCAAGAAGATTGTGTTTTTGAGGTGTGTTTGCAGCTGTGTCATTCTTACTGTCTGTAAACACAATAGCTCAAAATTTTTTAAGAAAGTACTATATAAAGATTTAAAATATCATGTCCCATCTGACCTTCATTCAAGGTAAACAGACTGATCTCAAGGTGAAAGTGATAATAATACTATGCAGAACTATTTACTATTAAAACTAGATTTCACACTTCCATTGTTTATATTAATAACATAGAGGCATATGGGGAGTGATAAATAGGAATTCTTAATACCATATTATGTTGGACCTCGCACCTCAAACTTATATAAAATGTCTTTTCTCTTTAAAATTGTACTTAAAGTGCTACTGCCTTTGTTTGTATTGGCAACATTTAGGAAATAATGCAGGTATATGTGGATTCTAAACATCACATTATAGTTTGCAACCTGCCTTTGAAGTGCCTTTCTTTTAAGTTGACCCCAAAATGTTTTGTATCTTCAAAGAGACTATTTATATCCACATTAATAAAAAATAAAATCCCATATTCAAAATTATGTCAAGTATATTAAAATGGGTTTCAGCATTGTAAATAACAAAAGCCTGCCGCTTGCACTTGTTTTAACTGCACTACAAACATCTTAAAGTATGTTTAAAAAGAACAAAGTAAAGAAAATGAACATAATATAATGAATATTTAAAATAAAATACACTTCAAAGTAAATATTGGCCAGACACTGAGCTGTCTTGGCGAAGGTTTGCACTCTCTGATTGCTTCTTGTTTACAACATGTTTTAAATGCAACGTAGAGTCTCTGCTGGGCGAGTGCATATTATATGTGCAACTTGTTAAACTGTACCTTACTAACATCGCAAATCAAGCCAACTTGTAAAGATACAGCTGTGGAAACGGTGTATGCCAATGTGACTGAAACATGCATGTATCCATTTGATAATGCAGAACGTGTGTAAATGTTAAAGTTTGAATGTATCCAGTTAAAATCTCAGAGCTCCCATCTGCTGTCATCAATTTAAATAAGCTGTTAAAATAAAGAGCCAAGATCTTATTCAGCATTAAAACAATTAAGTGTAATTAAAATGTTTAGTTTACCGTTCTATACGCTAAATCTCTAAAAGATTAATGACTTTCTGAGCATTAATCTCTTGTTTTATTTGCAACACTGTTGTATTTTATTGCTAAATCTTTATGTTATTTATAGATTTTATCACAACTTTATCATTATCTGATAACGTCTCTGAGTAGGCAGCACTCATAGGGATCATTTTGTGTGACCCGTGAAACCCCACATTTATATGAGTGTGCACAGAATTGGAAGCAGAAATCCTGGATTAACACAGCTGTTGATAACTGCTGTTTTGATACTCCTCA